GTTTGCGCCAAGCCTGTATGTTGTATATAGGCTACTAGGCAGGAGTAGCCATTTTAAAGCTACGTATGTATATTCCTTGCTAATCCTAATTTTACACCTTGCATAGACCAGTTTTGAGTGAAAAAATGAGATTTCAGTTTTATAGGGAATAATCCTGTGGAAAATGAGTGGCACCGCGGGGGGGGGGAGAATGCCAGTTGGAACGTCACTTGTAAAAGGGGGCTTCCGTTTAAAGTTGATGAAAGCGTGGAGGTTCGGGTTCTGTTATTTACGGGTGGCTGGAAGAAGAGATTGATTTAAGTATCTAGACGTGTGTCTTGCTTTATCACAGGGGGTGGGGGCTGTTCCTACATGCATGCCATATATACATTTCTCTTATGTGCATAATCGTCCAGCAAACTCTTTGAGTTGGATTCCTTTGAGTAGCAGGAACTTGACAAGGGCCACCCAATGAGTTTTGCTGCCATGTAAGTTTGTCAGTGGAGTTTGCCAGCCTGCACTTGGTTACCGTATTTTTCGCTCCATAAGACACACCTTTCCATAAGACGCACCGTTTTTTAGGAGAAGAAAACAGGAAAATATAATCTGTTTTCTTCGCTCCATAAGACGCATAGACTTTCCACCCCCCTGTTTTGTGGGGGGAAAGTGCGTCTTATGGTGCGAAAAATACGCTACTTTGAGGCCCATGGGGGTCAGACTGCGATTCCACTCCCCCAGGCCCAAGCAGGATGCTGTTCCTCACCCTCAGGCTGTTGAGAGTAACGACAATTGTTTAAAAATCGCCTCGTTTCATTTATGCCTTCCTGAGTTTCTCCAGTTGTACAGGTTGGGCACTATTATTTTGCTAGGCTCTTTAGATGCACATGGCGCATGGAGGACGATGGGTATGTGGTGAAGTCATACTTCTTGAGCACTTGAGGCATAAAAAGATGAATAAAAGATTTGATGGTGTGTATGTGTGTGAATCGTGCGACCAGAGAGGGAAAAATTAGGTGGAGGTTAAGGGGAAGCCGTGATGGTAAGTTAATTTGCAAAAGGGAAACATGGCGTCCAAGTTCCCCACGCCGTTAGGATGAGGCTACTTCAATCATCATGATCAGCACCGTATCGGATTTTCAGAGGGAAACAGTGCCTCGTTTTGTTCGCCCCTTTGTTTTGTAACGGGGTTAAAGAAGAAGACTTTGCCCGAGAATGTATCAAGAGTGTTTCTGAGCATGTCCAACCTGCCTTTCCCTCACAACCAAGTAACCACGGGCAACCCACACGCATTTGGGACGAGGGAAGAGGGCAGCCGGGTCAAAAGGGCATGTCTTCTAGGCAGGCTTAAGGCCCAGGGGTTGACATGTTTCTTTTTAAAAATTAACCTCTGCCTAGCAGGCCC